CGGCAACGCTTATGCTTTAAGGGCGTCAAAGCGAGAGATGATATCTGCTAGATAATCTCACTTTTTGTAGGTTGCTTGTTTTTACTGTTTAATTGTTTGCTTCAAGGAACCTACGACGGCCACAATGGTGTAGTATGGGACGTAGATGTGTCATGGGATACCACTCGACTGGGAACAGCATCCGGAGATAATTCGATCAAGGTATTGTGTTTTCATTTCTTCTAATTCTACTTTGTCATTATCTTATAATCCGTCTCTCCCAATCAGTGTTATTCAGTTCTGGGACTGTGAGACTGGAACGGTACTGAATACCATCAACACTCCGACTCCCGCGAAATCCGTCAACATTTCCTTTTCGGGTGGGTGGAAGAGCTCATTGTTTATTCCAACATTAGGAAAGTACAGGAAAAATGTTGATAAGTCTATAGATAAAAGGCAGAGTCCGCGTTCAAAAGGTTGGCTATGCGCCTCAGACAATAATGACAAGGTAGCAATTCAGTAGTGAAGAAAAAACAGCAGGAAAAAAAAAATCATGGGAGTTGCCCATTATAGAATCCCATGCCGAAATTGAGCTGCCATATTCAAAGAAAGCGTAGGAATGTCAAATGGAAGGCAGGCTCTGCTTTTAATTGAATAGAAGCAGTATGGTTTGATGCCAGAAGTAGCATCAGGGATGCTTCGCTAAGGAGGCGAAGCGTTGCCTATCCGTTAATTCCATTCTTCCAGGCCATTTACTCGCCTACACCACACAGAAGATGACAAAAAATCCTTCGGTATTGTGCGTAGTCGACACAAGAGACGACCAACAAATTACATCTGACTGTCCACTGTTTCGCGTACGCATTTTGAAGTTCGATAACTCAGCTACGACATGTGTTTTTAGTGGAGCTACCGATTGCGTAAGTTTCAAGTTTGTGGTGTTTTTGTCAGACTCTTTCAAAAATGGTGAAGGTGGTGTTGTGGCAAGCGCGTGGTCCGGGAGTCATTGGCTTCCCTTTAGGTCATTTTTTAAGGCTACTACCCCGAAATGGGTAAATTGGTACCAGATTCGTCTGTGTTCTTATATAGACCTTGTCGCATTTACTACGATTCTGAGTGGATGTAAAATACATGCCGCATCTCAAAAAAGAGGTTGATCACCGAATTAGACGGGGGGCTTGACGAAAGCCTTTTTCAAATCTTCCTCATAGATCTCTCTGATTCTTCGTTTCCGAATTGGCTCACAATATTTCGAATCGCCTCAAATCGGGATTTCGTGTGTGTGAGGGTTAGGACCCTAGTTTCTTGGCCAGCGCCGCTCGACCCTGTTATGGCAATGTCATGTGTTTCATGAGATAGCCGCAATTTGACCACTTACATTTGTATAGTGACATATCATGTGAACAATTCAGTATACCATTTTTAGGTCACTGTTGGATTTGAAAATGGACACATATTCCAGTATGATCTGAAAACTAAAGATGAACCATGTTTGTCTAATGAGAAGGCTCATAGGGTAAGGTTTGTCAACAATCTTTTCCTCATGATGTGTTACCTTCACTTATATTGGAAGTTAAGTACGCCATTACTGACCTACAATTGTCGCCAGATGGGGCTTTCGTTATTTCATCATCAAAAGACAAAACGGCTGCATTACTCGACGTGTATACTTTGGACAATCTGAAACAGTACCGGTTGGTTTGATTCGTGCAGACTTCCTTAGCTTAAGGGGAAAAGTGGAACATTTTTGATTCATCCTGCTACGCTTCAAGAAGTAGAACTGATTTAGTAACATTCCAGCTCTGAACGTCCAGTTAACTCCGCCTGTATCTCACCAATTCGTGATCATATCTGTCTTGGAGGAGGAGAAGACGCTATGCAAGTAACGCAAACAGCTGTGTCTGCTGGTCATTTCGAAGCGAAGCTCTATCACATGGTGTTTGAGGAAGAATTCGCTAGGTTTAAAGTCAGTTTTTTTCGGCGTCATGGATAGTCTCATAGTTTTGCTTTATTTGCTTTCAATAGGGTGATATTAGATTGTTCGCTACAATTCAGCCATTATGACTCCGAAATCCAGAAAGGTTTTTCGTTGATTACGCAGTAAGCATGTGTCGGGGTAAGTGTTTGCCCGTTCTACAGGCTCTTCTCTACAGAACGCCTGAAGATGCTGGCGCAGAGGAAAGTATGTAATATTCGTGTTCATGTTTAACCAGTACACGCCTACCGTTGAGAATAGTTGTAAAATACATCCCTCTCGAGATTTCCTTCTCTGGTACGACCATACACCTCTTTCCCACTCCATTTACTGTCTTACCGACTTCCAAGTTTCAGTTCTTCTTTTACGAAGTATCCCAGGAATTCCTTCACATTTCTCCCCAGCTTTCGCTATGGGAACCCGGGGGGAGGGGGGAGGGTCCAGGCACACGTAACAAGGGAAAGCCGAGAAAGTCAACAATCGAAACGTTTTTCTCGATGGCAGCTACGATCTACCTCGCTCCCGCGAACAAATACGACCAACCCCCTCTTCGCGGAGGATTTCATCATACGACTTGCCTTGGCTGTAATATTATTATTGTCAAAGAGCGGTTGCTGTGGAAAATGTTGTGCCGCTCAATTGGCGCTTAATTTTTCTTGAACCAGAAACGAGTGTGCTATTCGCGATTCCGATCAACCCCTATATGACGAAGTTCGCCTTT